AAGTGAGAGGGTTGGTACCAGGTAATACTTCTAGTTCTCACATTATATAAGAAAAAAATTTGTCTAACTAATTCTATCAGTGGCAAGTTTATACAATATTTCCTTCTACTGTTCTGTAAATACTGACCTCCTCAAAAATATTATTGTCTCTTGAGAGAGAATTTGCTACTTTCCAGAGCTATAATTTCGCTGTACAGTGCCATGAACCCTAAGGCAACAGCAGCAACTACTATTCAAAAAGCATAGCCAAGACTTCAACATGAAGTAAATCTTATTCAGTGTGTGTGTGTGTGTGAGAGACAAAATCTTTTGAATGCCTGTTGAAAGCTGGGGACCCTTTCATAGAAAAACACATATAACATACAACAGTTATGCATAAAATTTTAAGGGCCTCCTGCCCCTTGGAAGCATTAGGTGCTCTCTAAGAATCCATGAATCCTAGGCAAACAGTACGTGGGACATTGAAAGGATACCTGAATGATAACTAAATTGTAAAGAAAAGTTCTCTTCCTATTGGAAAATTAAATATTTATAGAGCATTACTAAAACTTTCTTTAAAAATTAAAGTAGTAATGCTTACTACAATGCCTGTAATCCCAGCTAGTCAGGATGCTTAGGCAGGAAGACTGCAAGTTCCATGCCAGTGTGGGCAACTTGGTGAGACCGTCTCAAAATAAAACATGAAAGTGGGCTGGGGATTTAGCTCAGTCATGGTGTGCGTCCCTGGGTTCAATTCCCAGTACCATAAAATAACTGAACAAACAATAAAAAAAAAAAAACTCCGACCTATTAGGCTCATCTGTAACTATACTCTTCATAAATCAGATCAAGTACTGACCTGCTTTGGCCTTTTAGAACAGAATCCAAACTCCATACTACACTACATAAGGTCTTATGCAGTTTGTCTCTTGCCCACACTTGTTTTGTACCTTTGAGGCCCTCTAGCCTGTCTTTGGCTTCAGCAATACATCAACTCTCTGCAACTACTCTTTGCTGAAAGGTCTCAGAGGGACCCGTTTCCTCCAATCACAGCACTTTTCCTGGCTGCCATCCCACAGGCCTCAATTCATCCCCTCTTCATTTGACCAGCCCTTACCACTTTTACCTAGGTCAGTTCATATCATATCACTCAATTTTTCCTTGTAGAGCCTTTGTCATGGTTCTAGACATTCCTAGTTTATTGTCTTTCTCCCTACCTGCGTGTCTCTTTGTAACTGTATTTCCAGAGCTTGGGTGGAGGAGGCATTCAATCACTGCTGAATGAATGAACTTGAGCTGAGGGATTAAGAGTTCAAGAAGGTCTAAGTGCTCTTATGGTGCCCTTCCATCTTTATATCTAATAATTCTGGTGCTCCACTTCATATTTAACTGAAAATATTATACCCTACACTTGTATATACAAAAGGGAAAACAGCTTTCTATGGGTCTGATTATAACATCTTGGAGCCCCTGTTTTGCTGGTACCCTAAGTATATGAAATCTTTTTTGGCCTTTGGAGAATCTAGCACTCATTCTTCTCTATCCATGTGCTGGACATTGTTTTAGCTTAAACTATATGTCTATATGTGGAAAACCCTTTCTGAAAAATTTTAAAGGAATGTTATTAAATCAGTAGATTAATTTGGGAAGAACTGACAGCTTTACTAGGTTAGCTCTTCCAACCCATGAACAGTAAGTCTCTTCATTTATACAGGTCTTCATTAAATTTCTTCATCACCATTTTATAATTTGGGGCACACAGATACTGTACATGTTTTGTTAAATTATACTTATTTTGTATCCTTTGGAGCAATTATAAATGGTGCTGTTTTAAGTTGCTGTTTCCTTATGTTGTCAGTATATTTAGAACCTTTTTAATAGAACAAGAAGTGTACCTTTCAGTAAACTTGTTCCCAATATTCAAGGTTCTCCATGATTGCCTTGGAATCTCTTTAATTTGACCTCGTACCTATTTACTAAATACCAGCTGCAACTGCTCCTGGGTCTGCTCATCTCTCACCTAAATACACCTTGTTCATCTACCTCCATGTCTTTGCTCATGCCATTTCCTCTCCAGAAGAATCCTTTTACTGACTACTTTGCCACAAATTTTAATTATCCTTCAAGGGGCTGGGGATTTAGCTCAGCAGCATAAGCGTCTGCCTTGCAAGCAGGCAGTCATGAGTTCGATCCCCGGTACCGATAAAAAGGAAAAAGACAAAAAAAAAAAAAAATTATCCTTCAAGCAACAGATCAAAGCTGTTCATAAGATGCTTTCCTTTAAAATTTCTTCTTAATGCCAGTGACAGTGGCACATACCTGTGATCTCATCTACCTAGGAGACTGAGGCAAGAGGATCATAAATTTGAAGCCAGCCTGAGCAATTAAGTGATACTCTAACTAAGAGAGAGAGAGAGAGAGAGAGAAAGGTCTGGGGATGTAGCTCAGTGGTAAAGCACCTCTGGCTTCAACCCTTAGTACTGCAAAACAAACAAAAAAGCAACCTCCCACATTGCTTTTCTCTGGACTCTGAACCCATATTGTATGCCACTCTATCATTAATTTTTAATTAGCTTTAATCTGTCTTGTTTAAGATGATCCAGAGTGAAAAGACTCCTAGAATAGCTCTCATGACACTACAAATATGGAAGACATTCTAATTTAATTATAAATGAAGAAACGGGGAAAGTTTTAAGATGTATCAGTTAGTTACACTACTGGGAAGGTTTAAATATAGGGTACGCTACACCGTAACTTCTCCTGACTCTTTAATCCAGGTACGTCTGTGTTGTCCATCGGTAGTACAAGCACTCTGATTCATCCTTAAAGTCCCAATCCCTCCAACTAAGCAGATTTGAGTGGCAGCTCCTTTCCGAAACAGCAAGTCTATGGCTAGAGCTCGAGGAAGCCCAGTGAAGCTGCAGTAGCATCTCCCGGCCACCAGAGGTCAGGGACTAAGCGGAGAGAACGCTCCCCCTCCGCAGAAGTCTGCAAGAGGTCAAAGGCACAGACTGAAAAGTTGGGGCTCCATCTGTAGCCTTCAGGCTTTCCGTATAGCGTGAAGTCTCAGCTGTCTTTTATCCCCAGTGGGCTTCTTTTCCTCTTCTAAAGGGTAAACTGAAAATACAGGCTTTCGCCGTCATGCTAACCTTGAATGATTACCAATCACAACGAATGCCCTTTAGCTGCAGGATTTAAAGTAGCAACAGAGATGTACTACTTTCTAACCTGCCCCAAATCTATTTCTTAGTACTGCCAATTTAAAAAGTCCCTATGGTAGTGTCCTCATAGATCCTAACAACAAACAGTGCCTTGAGGGGTGTGCGTCCCTGCTCATGCAGTGCAAATGCAATGTTTTAAGAACTAGATTATTTCTACACATAAATTCTGGCTCAAGGAGCAGTCCCCTCGCAGTGTGCTTTTCTGTCATTAATCACATCTTTGTTATGTGATATCCACGTGAGTCCTCAGAAGCAGCTTCATGCCCAAATGCTCAAAGAACACTGGAATAAAGCTCTGATTGTCCTAAGTCAGTGATTCCAAGTCCTGGTTTGTCACCACCTCAGGTCTCTAGTTTTCCAGCATGTGTAATACCTTCTCAAAACAAAACTGTTTTAATGGACTCAGAAAATGCACGCGGTACGCGTCGTAAAATCAACAAAGGTCTTAAACCTTTCAAGAGGTAATGTGTCCCCTGGTGTGATTTAAAGATGATTAGGGGCCTCCTGCTGTAGAAAATATTTTAAGGAGAATTCTAGGCTGCTTATATTCATTTTATTTGTAAACACTGTATAAAGCAAAGTAAAACAAGAACATTTATGGGGAGGGCTTCCACGACAGAGTTGACTGCCTGCCAACGCTAATGCGATTTTTTCTTAAAGGACCTGTAACTTCTCTCTTCCTAAATCAGCAGAACCCTGCATTTAGGACTCGAAAGACTTTTTGTTTTTAAAGAATGATTGCAATTTCTCAAATCAGTCTGCGTTTCTCACGTTGACGAAGCAGCGGAAAATCACCTAAGGATTTGGGCAAAGGCTGGGTGGGTGGCACCTCCACTACCTGTCCGGGCGCAGCGATGCAGGGACCCGGCCCCGCTCGGGGGGCCGCGAGCCCGGCGCGGCGGGCGCGGGAGGAGCGGGAACCAGAGGGGGAGGCCGCGGGCCGCCTTCGCCGGCAGCCCTGCTCCTCCCAGCGGCGCCCACGGAACCTGCCTCCGAGTCGCCCGACTCGGGAAGGGAACGTGACCCGACCCCTCCCCGAGCGAGCGACCGAAAGGGGCGGCGGGGCGCGCTGCGGGCCGGGCCGGGCCGGGCCGGACCCGGTCAGGCGGCGCGGGAGGGGCGGGATGGTCGCGCGGCCCCGCCCGGCGCCCACCGCCCTGCCCTCGCCTGTCTCCTCCTTTCCCCGGGGCTCCGCTGAGTTCATTCACTGGGATTGGTTTCAAGTGACGCCATCTCTTTATTTTTAAACCAATGACCTCATCCGCGCTTGAAGTTTCCTGACCAGCGACTCTTTCTCTTCCCCCAACCCCCCCCCGCCCCCCCGCCTCTGCCCCTCTCTCGTGGGTCTCGTGTGGGGGGGCTTTCGCCAATTTTTAACGCTCCTCCTCACCTCTCCGTCCCCCCGCGCTGTCCCCGCGCGCCCTCCCCCTCACCTTTACCTCCCCAAGTTTCTCACCCATTTGGACTTTTATTTTCTTTCGGGAGGCCGGTTGGGGGGTGGCGGTGGCGGACGAGAAAGAGTGGAGGAAAAGTCGCGAGCGGCTCCTCTCCTCGGCTCGCCGCCCGCCGTCGCCCTCGCCCTCGCCCTCGCCCTCGCCCACCCTCCGACCCGGAGAAGAGACTTTAGCGAAAGGACGAGGCGGCGGCGCGAGTGACGGGACGGGCGCGGGGCACGAGCGCAGTCGCCCTCCCGGCTCCGCAAGGGGCCGCGGGGAGCCGCCGTCCGGAGACGCCGTGACAACGTTCGCGTCCCTCTGGGGGAGTCGCGAGGTCGGCGGCCCAGAAGTAAGTGGGTGCGCGGGCGGGCGCGTGCGGGGCGTCCCCGCCACACTCCGGCGAGGCGGCGCGGGGGCGTCCGCCGGGGGTGTAGGCCTCGCTGGGGGCCGGGCGCGCGCGGCTCGCGGTCCGTGCGCCCCGGCTGAGCCGGGCCGAGGAGGGCAGCGGGAGCGGCCGCGGCCGCCCTGGGACGGCACCTTCGCGGGGGAAACTGCTCACTTCCAGGCGCGACTGTTACACAACACGCCTGCCAAGTGGGGCCCCGGCCTGACTGTTCCCATTATCCCCGAGTCGCCTTTGGTACTGTAGGCAGCGAGGCCACCTGGGTGATGATCGTGCTGCCTTTTAAAAACTTACCCCCTCCCCGAAAAAAAAATAAAGTCTTAACTTTCATACTGAGTCGTGGTGTTGGGGGGGTCCGGTGCGCCAGGGACTGCTCTATTTACACCGGCCGTAAAAACATGAGAAATAAAACCGAGGGAGACAACAGAGGGTCTGTGTATCGTGTGTCGTTTCGTGACATAAAATATCACAGAACATATTTTACACAAAACCTAAGTTTTTTGGTGCTGGGTTTAATTTTCTAAAGACAACCAGTAACGAAGCTGAGAAAATGTAAAGCAGATCTTGAAATGAATGAATACTGCACAATCCCGAAGAAGATCTGCAAAGATCCTTGGCGGGTTGAAGCCCCGGTGTTTCAATTGTGTGGAGAAAGCACACCTCTGCCAGCCAGTGATGAATAAGGTGGAGAGGAAAAACCTGTTGCATAATCTCATTCGCTATGGGATTTGCTGTGCCGTCCCCTTGAACCGAGGGGAAGTGAGTTAAGATGCAGGGTTTTAAAAACTCTCTGAAGTTTTTTATTTACCCAGCGCTCTGGCTGCCACTTTGCTTTAAGAGATTATAAACAAATACTGGGCTCTTACAAGTGAACTAAACCTATCCGACCTGTTTTAGGAAATGACCAGGTATGTTTCATTCTTGTTTTTGCGTGCGTGCGTGTGTGTGTGTGTACACACACATGCGCCAGAGGGGGGGGGAGAGAATATGAATACATGAGTGTGAAATTTACCACCCATGAAAGGGCTTCGACTACCATTTGGGGAACTGAGACTTGTCAGAAAAATGCTCCTTCATCTAACCACTCTCTAGAGTTGATTGGTAGTACATGTAGATGTAAACTATTTTCCTCAAAGGAGTTTTGTTGTTTCATCTCCACCAACAAAGATCTTTTTTAAAAGCTAAGGTAATATTTTTAAAAGAAGAAAAGAATGCTTACCAATCGAGTTTATTATTTTTTAATTACTTGCTTTTCCTTGTGGACACATTTTGGGAGGCAGTGCTAAGTTAAGGCTCGTGCAGTTGTGTGTTTGGTGAAGGCAGCAACCGGGAAAAATACATTGAAAAACTAAGAATTTATGGCTTTGTGTGAGTATTTGAGTCAAAATGTGATAGGGTGCTGTGAAAAGTTTTGTCACTGTTTTTAAAAAGAAAGTTATAACAGCATTTACAGAGTTTAAAGACTGTGGGAAGTTGCTATTGAAAAAAAAATTGGGGGAGTTAACAGTAGTTTATATAAAGATTTGGGCAAAGTACCACCAGACCAAATTAGATTTTAGATAAAATAATTTGTACCTATCAAAGTTCTACATGTGTGGAGAAAAATTAGAAATGAGTTTATTTTTGAATTACAATGTAAATTAAATTGGTTCAAGTGCCGTATGCCTACATTTAGGTGTTTTTTAAAAATGTGTAAAGTGACAATGATATTTAAGAGTTTTAGTTTTAACCTCTGGTTTGTCAGCAACTCAAAAGTAAAATATCTAATTTGGCTTAAATTGTACCTATTTTACTTGAGTGTGTCTGCATAATTATAGAGGGTGGTGAGAAACAGAACTGCAGAATCATCTACTTTTGCGCCTCTTCAGATTAGAAAGTCCCTGTCCTTCCCTTCAGCTTGTTAAATGTGGTAGAGTACCTATAAAATAAAAAAGTCAGTGTGAAATTGAGGATTCTGGTGTGTGTAGGGGGAAAGTGTTGGCCAAAATGTTAATGGTGGACTGGGGATTTAGCTCAGTGGCATAAGCAGCTGCCTGGCAAGCAGAAGATCATGAGTTTGATCCCCCTATCGAAAAAACAAATGTTAATGCTAGTAACTGAAAAGGGGGCAAAAGAGAAATCCTGTTAAGCCATTTTTTAAAAACCACGTTCAAAAGTTGTTTGTGGTGTGGTTGGGAGTGGAAATGATAGGGAGAGATGAAGGTGTAAAGTAGGTTTGGGTTGGAGGTGTAGCCAGGCCCTGGGTTCAGTCTCCAGCTGGAGTTGAAGCTCTCAACTCCAAAAAAAGTAAAGTCCTGTGGTTTTAAGAAGGCTGCAGAGTTTGAATTGGGAGTTGGGAGAGGCAGGATTGATGTGCGTTAATGTTGATACTATTTTCTATGAGTGCCTATACTGAGGAAATTAATTTCATAGAATTTTCAGCATATAGGATTATTATTGGTGAAGCAGATTTATGTAGTTGTTCAATATTAAAGTTGTTCTTTTTCAAACGAATTATAAAATTCTACTAAATACCTTTTGCTAAAGTTACCAGTGTCATTTATCCTAGAACCCCAGATTTCCTAGAGTATCTGGCAAAAACAGTGTTCTGTTGTGTATTACCTTAACTAAAAATTTTATTGGCCTTTTCATGTTTTTAAAATTATTTGAGTTCTCAAGCAAAACGTACTTTAACTTGAACAAGTAAATATTAAATTCATTTGGATCTGAAGCCTAAGAAAAAGAGGAGATAAATCATGGGAAACAGAAAACAGATTTTATGATAGATTTCAAGAGATTGAAATAAAAAGTTAGAAAGACTTCATAGAATAAGCTACAGCTGATGCTTGATTGGCCTTTTAAAAGAAATAACTGAATCAAAATTTAAAACTGAGAGATCACTGTCATGAAATAGTCTTCCTGATGTTGGTTTAAGCAAAAACATAAGACAATAAATCTTAGCCTATGCTATATATAATTATGTATTCCAAAGACAGATGTCATTTTTGTTCCTGATTTTGTGTTGTGGGTAATGCTATTTCATACATTTCTTTAGCCTAGAATGATCTAGGGTTGATTGTATGAAGAAAAGGTCATGAAGTGTGGCTGAACTTAAGCAGCTTAGACATTAAGAAGCCATTTTCATGCACAGATCAATTGAGATAGTTAGAAATTTAATCAAAGAAATGGAGGAAACAAGAGTGGTTCAAAAAGAAGGACTGAAAGCAGATTACGGCAAACAGGTACAAAGAAATAAAAGCTTGCCAGGGATATGACTGGTAAAGAAGGAAATGGGATACATCTTGGCATGAAAGGAAAGAGGCATAAGTGGAAAAATACCCTTTGATACCTCAGCAACGAGAAGGAATAGTAGTGAAACTTCACTCCCTTCTACCATGGGACTAAATTGCACCACAGGTATTATCAAAAAGTCAGGATTTTTACTACATAAAAAATCTTGGTGGGGGGATGAATAAACTATGATCATAAATTATAAGAGTGAAAATGTAAACTTGAAATTTCTAGAGATAAATCCAAGATAGTGGGGGTTTCATTTCAATTTCATGACCAATTTTGAGTTATTTGGAAGAGAGGGAATCTTCATCTAGAGTTCTGGATTAACTACAGACTTAAATTAAGCAAATCAATTATTAAAGGTATACTATTTACATGGATACCAAAAGTTGGGAACAGAAGTCCATTCCCTTAAGGAAAGCAGTATTATAAGAATTTTAAATAAGATTTGTATATAGGCAAAGAGAAACAATGATCAGACAGCTGGCAACTGTGGTAACTTCCTGGTATGAAGGAGAAAGATCGGAAGGTTCAAAGAAGTAATCTTTAGAGATACTACAATTTGACGCTGGCCTTAAAGGATGGTTGTGTTATATACACAGGAAAGACAGTGGAGCGAAGTCAAGGTGGGAAGCTGCTTATTGATCTAATTATTCGGCAGATTTATGTTGACCTCCTGGTGTCTAGCCATACATACATAAAGTTTTTGCCCTTCAGGAGCCTAGAATCTAGTAGGAAGAAGACGGACAATAAACAAGAAGGACAAGCACACAATATATGAAAAAATCTGATGTCAAATGGTACCAAGTAGTGAAGATAATAATGGTCAAGGAATTTACAGAGTTAGTTACAGTCCCACTTATTGTGAGTGATAACCTATTTTGCCTATAGGATCTTGATGAATATTGTTAATGTTACAACTTTTTAATATTCATATGTGGTCTAAACCAACTTGAATGAAATTCTCCACATTAATTCATTTTTAACCAATCTTGTGCTTTAAAGAAGAAACCTTTCCCAGGGATATAGTTCAGTGGCACAGTGTCTGCCTGGCAAATGCAAGGTTGTAGGTTTGATTCCTGGTACCAGAACAAACAAACAAAAGCACCTTTGTGACTTATTTATTTAGGTTGAGATACACAAGCTTTGCTTTTTTTTTTTTTTTCCTAGAAGTCACCAATAGGGAACAAGCTTTGCTTTTTAAACTCCTCCTTAATGTATTCATAGTTCTTTTGCTGACATTTGCTGAGAATCTCATGGTTTTTTAACCACAAGGTTTATATCATTGTTTACTGTTTAGTAAGGGCTTTCATGTACTTAGGAAACATTAATTACAATAGTACTATAAGGAGGGCTAAATTCTAACGACTGTTAGCTTTGACGCTACCTTGGATGAGAGCATACAAAAGAAAAATAATGTCAAAGCACAAGACAACTGTTGGGCTTAAGAATCAGGTTGATAAAGTAGTCAATCCCCTTTTTTAGAACTGGTTCATATCTTACAGAACAGAATGATACATTTGAACTGTCTTGTGCTCTGAATTGTTAGTTATGTGTCTCCCTAACGATTCATAGAGTCTCACTGAAAATATGATTTTAAATTTATTTTTTCTTGTTTATTTATAAATAGTAGAAACTTAGGAAAAAGTGTTCTTATTTGATTTTACATTTGGTTTGAAGATGTTCTTTATAGTGTTAACTGAAAGCTTATCAATGACTAGCGTTTCTGGGCATATTTACAAAGTGCTTCTCAAGCATTTTAAAGAAATAATGTTTCCTTTCTTCACTATCTGCATTTTTAAGCTAAAAATATAAAATTATAGGTGAAATCATGTAAAGGACTCCTAACATGGTTTGTTTTGTGAATGCAAAGCACTACTCAAAAGTTACCCAAGAATTATTCTGTATGCACTTAACCAATTTTCATCTAACATAATCAGATACACTTGAGATAAGCCCATGGAAAACAGTTTCAAGATGAGGTAAATTTGTGTTCCCTTGATTTTCTTCTAAACTACTTCATTTAGAAAAGAATTATAGACATAAATCCAGGGGTCTGTGGTTTGTGTGATGAAAGCTAATCTTAACTTTATGCCTTGAAAATACTTGGGAAGGACAGTAGTATTCAGATTTAATGTCTCAGTAGGAAGAGTGGTGGTGGGGGCAAATTGCAAGTTATTGAAAAAAAGATGTACTATAAATTGTTGCATGGCAAGGTATGGAAAGGTAGTTAATATTAAATATTACATGTTCTTCCTCTTAAAGGTAATGGGGAAAGAGGTGTAGTGAAGTATATACTATTGTTATTTGCATTGTATATCTATTTATTTCTTAAATACACAACTTCTCTCCAGGATAATTCCTAGTAGAGTCAGCTTTGGATCAATATTTGCTGAATAAATTGAATTAATTCTCACAGTTGTTACATTATATCTCTAGCTTAGAGCACTGTTTTCTCTGAGCTTTGAGTTGCAGCTGGCAGGCTTTGGGCTGGTTTTTGTCTGTGCCATATGCTGACACTAGAATGGGTCTGTGACCTCACCTCCAGCTCTGACCCTGTGGCTGACCTGACCTCATCTTTTCCGAAATGGTGGGTGGTTATTTCCTGTCACCTCTTTCCCCTCATAGTCTAACA